ATCGGAGGCTGATTGCTCTGCCGGCTGTGCACATAGTGGGTAGAAAGTGGAAACTCAGCCACTCACCCCAATAGTTCATCTCAGCACCCAGGATTTCTCAGCCTCCTGGGGGTTAGCATCGCAGAACCACAGGCAGAACCTGATGCTTCTAAATCCTCTTTCCCTCAGATATCTTAATCTGAATATCAAAAGGAAAATGTGAGGTATGGTAGCTCACGCCTGTAATCCCAGTACTTTGGGAGGCTGAGGTGGGTGGATCACTTGAGCTCAGGAGTTTGATACCCAGCCTGAGCAACATGGCAAAACCCCATCTACAAAAAAATACAACAATTAGTCGAGAGTGGTGGCAGGCACCTATAGTCCCAGCCACTTGGGAGGCTGAGGTGGAAGGATCGCGTGAGCCCAGGAGGCAGAGGTTACAGTGAGCTGAGACTGAGCCACTGCACTCCAGCCTGGGTGACAGAGTGAGACTCTGTCTCTCAAAAAAAAAAAAAAAAAAAAGAAAAGAAAATGTGAAAGATCTTCAGAGCAAAACACACTCTTTATAGCTTGTTCTTTCATTTTCCTTCCACTAGAAATAAAGCCAAGCAAAGAAAGGATTTACTGTCCATCACAGCAACCTTTACTAACTCAAAATAATAACCGGCTATGGTCTGATTTGATTCAAAAGTTCATTGTAAGCTTACAATGCATCGTTTTTAAAAGCTAAAACTTAGTAATACATCGTACCCTTAGGCAAACTCATAAGAACAGATGCTGAAATTGAATTAGGATGTATACTTGTTTCTGGAAGTTTTCCAACTCATTTCTGGCTGAAGTGAATCCTTGCAGAGCCAGGAGGCCTGAGTAGAAAATGGGTACTTGACACTGCTTTTGGATCCATCCTCCGTGAAAACAATCTAGGAAAACCGCGCTTTTCTTATTTTCAGTAAAAAAGTTCCATATTCATGCTATTTTCTGTACTATGCAAAATGCCTTCTCTCCATAGCCTCTTAAATGATACTGCAATATTTTTCCTAGAATTTCTTGAAAGGAAACAGCTGGTTTGGTCCCTGCTCTTTGTCTGCATGCTGGATTTCTGAAGACACTGGATATTTGCAGTCTGGGCTGCATCAGGTTCTGAGGTCCCCACAGGGATGTGGGCAGAGGGTTGAGAGACAGGAAACCAAGGACAGAATTGATCATTGATCTATGCACCAGATAGTAGGATGTGTAGGATCATTTATAGCTTAGGAGCTTTGGGAGACATGAGGTAGTTTGTGGGCCACAGGTTCTCAATTTTGGCTGCATATTGGAATCAGCTGGGATATTTCTTTACAATGCTGATGCCCGGATTCCATTCCTAGAGATTCTGACTTTGGGTTGGGCTGGTGGACTGAGCATTAGAATTCTCAAAAGCTCCCAAGCCATGTAATACGCATCAGAATCTGAGGACCACCAACACAGTCCATCTTCCTGCTCCTCCTCAGAGAGGGGGGTGACTTGCCTGAGGTCAGAATTATAGTATTTTCCAGTGTACCCCAACTCTGCAGCTGCTTCTTCATCACCCAGTGGCCCAAGAGAACAGTTTGAGAGCAACTTTACCTCATCCCACAATGTCACCCCAGACCTCAGGTCACTTCCCATGGTCAACAGGTTCTTCCTGCAGACTCACTGGCTGGTCCTCCTCCATCTCCATGTTTGGTGCTCCTCAGATGACGGCAACCAGCTTCTCCCATTCGGGGCCTGGCTCCCTTCTCTTTGCCACACCAGCTGCCTCCGTACTCATCTTCAGGAGACTTGAGTGTAAACACATTGCCTCCTACTCTTACTTCTGTCAGGGACTTTCCATTGCCTTTGGGATACTTAGTGTGGCTTGCAGACCCTCCATGAGCTGGCTTCTGGCCTCCTGAGTGTCCTTTTTTGCCCCTTCTGCATGATTTCATTTGTATGAGGTCCCTGGAGTTGTCAGACCCCTAGAGACAGGAAGTAGAGTGGGAGTGCCAGGGGCTGAGAGAAGGATGGGTAGTTATAATAGTATGTAATGGGGACAGAGTTTCAGTTTGGGAAGATGGAAAGGTTCTGGAGGTGGATGGTGGTGATGGTTGCACAAAACTGTAAGCGTACTTACGGCACTGAACTGCACAGTTAAAATGCTTAAAATGGCAAATTGCATGTGATGTATATTTTGTCACAATAATAACTTTTCCCAATAACTTTCTGAGGAAGGCCTTGCCTGGCCTTTTGCCTGAGTTAGGCAGTTCTGTTTTCTATTTCCAAAACTCCACATTGTTTCCTATCAGACCATCGTCCTCTTTAGAGTCTGGCGTCTTTCTAGATTATAATTAGAATAAAGGGACATTGGCGTTTTCACCTATTTACCACTGTGTTCCCCCATGAATGCAGAGTAGGTGCCTGCTGCATAATTTTTAATAAATGTTGTTGAATGAATAAAACCCAGATCTACGGTGTCCTAGCCCATCAATCTTAATTGCTAGGAAAAAATTGAAATGCTAAAATAATCCAATTTGATATTGTATTATTCCATTCTCACATTGCTATAAAAAACTATCTGAGACTGGGTAATTTATAAAGAAAAGAGGTTTAATTGACTCACTGTTCTGCAGGCTGTATAGAAAGCATAGCTGGAGAGGCCTCAGAAAACTTACAATCATTGTGGAAGGGGGAGCAGGCACATCTTACATGGGGGATCAAGAGAAAGAGAGTTGAGGGGGAGGTGCTACTAGATCTCATGAGAACTCACTCACTATCACAAGAACAGCAAGGGGTAAATCCACCCCCATAGTCCAGTCACCTTCCACCAGGCCCCACCTCCAATACAGGGGATTACAATTTGACATGAGATTTGGATGGGGACACAAATCCAAACCATATTATCCCACTCCTGTCCCCTCCCAAATCTCTTGTCCTTCTCACATTTCAAAATACAATCATGCCTTCCCAACAATCCCCCAAAGTCTCAACTCATTCTTGCGTTAACACAAAGGTCTAAGTCCTAAGTCTCATCTGAGACAAGACAAGTATTTTCTGCCTATAAGCCTGTGAAATCAAAAGCAAGATAGTTACTTCCAAAATACAGTGGGGGCACAGGCATTGGGTAAATGCTTCCATTCCAAATGGGAGATATTGGCCAAAACAGAGGGGCTACAGGTCACATGCAAGTCCGAAACTCAGCAGGGCAGTCATCTTAAAGCTCGAAAATGATCTCCATTGACCCATGACTTACATCCAGTGCACACTGATACAAGTAGTGGGCTCCTATGGTCTTGGGTAGCTCTGCCCTGTGCCTCTGGTGTGTTTGGCTTCCTCGGCTGCTTTCATAGGCTGGCACTGAGTGCCTGGGGCTTTTCTAGGTGCATGCTGCAAGCTGTTAGTGGATCTACTATTCTGGAGTCTGGAAGACAGTGGCTCTCTTCTCTCAACTCCACTAGGCAGTGTCCCAGTGGGGTCTTTGTGTGAAGGTTTCAACCCCACATTTCCCCCTGCACTGCCCCAGTAAAAATTCTCCATGAGGGCTTCACCCCACAACAAACTTCTGCCTGGACATCCAGGCATTTTGTACATCCTGAAATCTAGGCGGAGACTCCTAAGCCTCAACTCTCACACTCTGCACTCCCACAGGCTTAATACCAAGTGGAAGCCACCAAGGCTTGGGGCTTGCACCCTTTGAAGCAACAGCCTGAGCTGTACCTTGGCCCCTTTTAGCCATGGCTGGAACTGGTGTGGCCATAATGCAGGGCACCATGTCCCAAGGCTGCACAGAGAAGCAGGGCACTGAGCCTGGCCCACAAAACCATTCTTTCCTCCTAGGTCTCGAGGCCTGTGATGGGAGGGGCTGCCTCAAAGGTCTCTGAAATGCCTTGGAGCCATTTTCCCTATTGTCTTGGTGATTAACATTTGGTTCCTTTTTACTTTTCCAAATTTCTGCAGCCAGCTTGAATTCATTGCCAGAAAATGGGTTTTTCTCTTCTACGATACAGTCAGCCTGCAAATTTTCCAAACTTTTATGCTGTGCTTCCCTTTTTAAATATAACTTCCAGTTTCCAGTTATCTATTTGTGCATTCATTAACAAAAGTGGTGTTGGCTGCCGTTCTCAGTAAGTTCCTTATCTCCGTCTGAGACTACCTCAGCCTGGACCTAATTGTCTGTATCACTATCGGCATTTTGCTCACAGCCATTCAACTAGTCTCTAGGAAGTTTCAAACTTTCCCTCATCTTTCTGTTTTCTTCTAAGTCCTCCACACTGTTCCAACCTCTGCCTGCTATACCCAGTTCCAAAATCACTTCCACATTTTCAGGTATCTTTGTAAGAATGGCCCAGTCTCAGTACCAAGTTTCTGTATTAGTTCATTCTCACATTACTATAAAGAACTACTTGAGACTGGGTAATTTATTTTAAAACGAGGTTTGATTGACTCCTGATTCTGCAGGCTATACAGAAAGCATAACTGGGGAGGCCTCAGGAAACTTTCAGTCATGGCAGAAGGTGAAGGAGAAGCAGGTACAACTTACCTGGCTGGAGAAAGAGGAATAGAGCACGGGGCAGGGGTTGGCTACACACTTTCAAGCAATCTCATGAAAACTCCCTCACTATCATGAGAACAGCAAGGCAGAAATCTGACCCCATGATCCCGTTGCCTCCTACCAGGCCCAGCCTCCAACACTGGGGATTACAATTCAACATGAGATTTGGATAGGAACACAAATCCAATCCATATCAAATATTGAAGTACCTAGAAGTATCAGACCACAAATTGTCCCGTCATGGTAAGTGGTAACATTGGGTAAAGAATGTGGAGTGTGAGCCTCTGATTGGTCCTTACATGTATATTCTCTTGGAGGTGGGTAGACCTCCAAGAATTTTGAGACTGCCTTTGTTCTACCTAATAAATACAACAGGAAAATAAAAACCAGGCTGACGAGTTCAGATTTTTTAAGAACAACCTATTTATAAAGACTTCCTTGGTAATACTATACTTTTTTTCTCTTTCCAAATTAGATATTTATTTTTGAAAACAATATCTACTACTGCGCACATGTTGGGAAACAGGCCATCCGCGTGGTCTCCACTGGGAAGGAAGGTGTGATTTACAATGGCCTCAGTGACTGGTTGTACGAAGGTAAGACACATGGAGGGGAAAAGAAAGGAAGATGTGTGGTTGCTGTCATTGCTGCTGCTACATTAAAGTTGTTGGGTTTTTTTCCCCTTTTTCTTTGACTTTGGCTTTAAATTAAACTCCAGTTTCTTAAGATTTCGCAAAATTTCAAAGATTGTATCGGAGCTCTCAGGAGCATCAGGCTATTCTCAGGGGCCTGCAGGGTCACACACTCACCTGGGGCCGGTGTGCCGGGCTGTGGGCTTTGCAGGGCCCTGCAATTCTTTTCTGAAGGGCAGGAGACCTGTTAATGGGAGATTTATCATGTGAGGAGGTGACTTCCGGGAACGTTCAGGGACTGCAAATGCGCATGTCTCTACCCGACTCTGTGAGTGCTTTGTTTTGCCTTGGGAAGGGGACAGTTGGAAAAGGAAGAATGAGTTACATCTTTCCATCAGAGTGACTTGCTGCTGAGCGCACCTCCTCTTTGCTGGACGTTTTCTACCACTGGTTGGCCTTTGGCACCAGAAGACTCTTGTTTTGTACATTATTAAGTAACTAGAAATCAGAGGGAGAAGTTCTTTTCTTAAACTTTGTTACTCTGTCTCCATGCTCACGACCCTTCATCGTAACAGTAACAACCACGTATTGATTACTGCTAGCTGCCAGGCACTGTGGGAAGCATTTTGTTTTCTGTTATTCCATTCCACCCTCTGTCATAGTTTGTTCAGGCTGCTGTAAAAAGATGCAACAAGATTCCACAGACTAGGTGGCTGAAACAATGAACATATATTTCTCACAGTTTTGGAGTCTGGGAAGTCCAAGACCAGGGTGCTGGCAGACCCAGTGTCCGGTGACGCCTCTCTTCCTTGCTCGCACATGGCCATCTTCTTAGGTCCTCACTGGCAGAATAGAGAGAGCTCTGGTCTTTTTATCTCCTTATAAGGGCACAAATCCCATTTGAGGCAACACCCTCATGACCTCATCACCTTCCAAAACACCACCTCCTAACACCATCACCTTGGGGATTCAGGCTTCAACATACAAATTTGGGGGGACACAGACATTCAGTTCATAACACCATCATAACAAGGTTCTATTTCACAGATGCCATGGTGAGGTTAAATAATTGGCTCACATTTACACAAGGGTAAGGAATATTTATTGGGGAAAGTTGTTGTTCAAATTCAGGACAATTAATTACCTTTTTAAAATTCCTCATGTAGCTAGAGTAAGCATATGCTTTCCAGCATGAGACCAATGAATAACCCAAGCTCTTCTCAGCCTCCTGGCCTGAGACTGTGTGGTCACAGCAATAACTCACCCTGTTAGGCTGAGTCAGGGGAGGGTCAGGGAGATTCTGGGTGCTTTCTCAAGCCAGTATCATTTTCTCCAAGTGCTGTGCATGTGCCAGGCTGGGATTCTGCATTTTAGTGCCTTTGTGTATCATAAATTATAAAGCAGATGGATATGCAAGCTTAGTGCTACCTCCTAGCATAATTTCACTGAAGCCATAAAGTTCTATGGCTTGATTTTTAATTTTTTTAAATGGAGGTATAATTTGTACACAATAAAATGCACATTATAAGGACAGTTTGATGAGTTTGGCAAATGTATGTGCAATATCGCCCCAGTCAAGACATAGACCATTTCCATCAGTCTAGAAAGTTCCCTCAGTCCCTTTCCAAGGGCTTTTTCCCGAAGTCTGTCTTCCAGAAACTGCCTTGGTCCTGGAATGTAAGCAGCTCATTTTCTAACAGACTTCCTGGAACCCGGTCATCCACCTGAGGCTGTCCTTGCCTGTGTGGTCACCTTGGAAGCCCCATGTCTATTCTGATGGGGCTGCCAGTTCTCAGCCTGCTGAAGAGTTCAGTTCCTTCTGAGCCCCAGGAGATTCAACCCTGAGATTTTATTGTCACATGAGTTTTTGGCCACCCGGATAAAGCCACTGGAATGAAAGAGGGGATACAGTCTGCTGTGGTTATGCCTGTTCTGTGCAGAAACAGCCCTAGAAAGGGTATACCCCAAGATGTCCCCAGCTCCACCGAAGAGGCACAGCCAGCAGCACACAGGGAAACTCCAGAGGAGCAGCACCTCTGCGCGGGGTACAATCCCTGTGCCTATGGAGCTGACCTGCCCCCAGGACTCAGTAGACTGTTGACAGTGAGGACTCTAAAGCCCCATGAGTGCTGCCCTTGGGGAGAGAAAAAGGCCTTATACCTGGGAGCAACTAGAAAGCTGAGTCCTGTTTGCTTCCTGACATCTGAGGTCTCACTAACAGCTCTTCTGCTTCGGTGTGAAGCCGGCTCAGTATCTGGATAGGGAACGGGATCCAGGGGCTAGAGATCAGAACATGAGTGGTTCACAGTTAGGCTGTGGAACTGTAGGGACCCAGGGAGGAGACCTGGCCCAGTCACGGGACATGACAAGGGTCTTCCACTCCACAGACCTCGACATTCCCATCTGTACATAGGAAGAATACCCTCAACACTACGCTTTCTGAGGACTGTGTGAGACTTTGAGTGGAATGCACACAACACATGACATGGTCAGCAAAGGACAGTTGCTGCTGTTTTTCTTTTATTTATTTATTTATTTAATTTTTTTTTTTTTGAGATGGAGTTTCGCCTTGTTACCCAGGCTGGAGTGCAATGGCGCGATCTCGGCTCACCGCAACCTCCACCTCCCGGGTTCAGGCAATTCTCCTGCCTCAGCCTCCTGAGTAGCTGGGATTACAGGCACACGCCACCATGCCCAGCTAATTTTTGTATTTTTAGTAGAGACGGGTTTCACCATGTTGACCAGGATGGTCTCGATCTCTTGACCTTGTGATCCACCCGCCTCGGCCTCCCAAAGTGCTGGGATTACAAGCGTGAGCCTGTTTTTCTTACAACAATACAAATAACTTGGTGATAATTTATGTAGTTGTTACTATTATTGTAACTATTTGTTAACACTGTTTTTATCACAAAGAAAAAAAATGTTTAAAAAAGAGAAAGGAAGGCATAGGTCTCAAGGCCGTGTTCCCCGGGTGGTCACTCTGTCACAGGGCAGAAACTGTCTGACCTGAAAATTCAAGAGAGATCAGTGCAAATAATAATGACCCAGGATGTGTCCCCTGCCTCTAAGAGAAAGGACCCCCAGAATTTGGCTGCAAGAGCTTAGGTGTTTTCCGGGGACTAATCTCCCTGAAAATTCCGTAACCAGATTTAAAATATCTTTTTTAGTATCTTCTTAATAAAATAAAAAGTTCATTGCTTTACCATGCAAGTTAAGCTTTTGCTTTAGGAAACCCATTGAAAGGACTTTTTTCTTCAAGGCATTCACACAAAATTGTGTTGGTGTGATAACAGAGCCCTAAATATTTTAAATCAATCACAGTCGATGTGGCAGCCTGATCTACTTAGCGTTCCCTGGAAGGTTTATAAGCTGATGCTTTGATTTCTGAAGTTGGGAGCACGGGAGCCCTGGGGAATCTTGCTTCCTTTTTTAATAGTGGGAAAGTAAACTTTGATGATTGCTTTTGCCTACTCAGTGACTTAACTGTTTCACTTCCAGACTCTTCCTTTAAAAAAGTTCAGGGATGGGGGAGATTAGAATAAAAATACTCTAGGCCGGGCGCGGTGGCTCACGCCTGTAATCCCAGCACTTTGGGAGGCCGAGGCGGGTGAATCACGAGGTCAAGAGATCGAGACCATCCTGATCAACATGGTGAAACCCTGTCTCTACTAAAAATACAAAAAATTAGCTGGGCATGGTGGCATGTGCCTGTAATCCCAGCTACTTGGGAGGCTGAGGCAGGAGAATTGCCTGAACCCAGGAGGCGGAGGTTGTGGTGAGCTGAGATCACGCCATTGTACTCCAGCCTGGGTAACAAGAGTGAAATTCCATCTCAAAAAAGAAAAAATACTCTAAAGCATTTGCAGAGGGGCTGATTTGCTTGGAGATGTTAGTTCTAAGAAGGCAAGCTGTGTGTGGGGGAAATAGCCACTGCAGTCCATAGCTTGTTGGCAGAAAAAAGCCTTATTGATTTGTTTCCTAGAAAGGATCTTAAACGTATAAAACATTTCAAAATATTGGAGACTGACGGAGAGAAGAGGTGGGAGCCCCATGGAGGCTGCTTGGAGTCTCCACCCTTTGACCTAAGATTTGAACACACAAAGAGGGGAAAGCTCCAGTTTGCTGAAGCAGTTGCCCACACACCAGAATGCAAGCTCAGCGCTGGCTGTGAACTCAGCGCTGGCTGTGAACTCATCATTGGCTGTGAACTTAGCACTGGCTGTGAACTCAGTGCGTCTGTTGCTGATTCTCTAAAGAGAGTCCTTTGGCTTATGTTGGTCACAAACTGATTTTGATAAACAAAATGCGTATCTTCATTTTATTCTTCTGGGAAAATGTCATAAAATTACATGGAATTTTGATTTTAATATAAAACTAAAGACTGCTTAATAGAGTCCTACAACTTTTCAAAGTTTATTAAAGTTTGTTTATTTGTAAACTAAAAGTAAGATGTGACTGAAGATTTTGAGGACTGTGAGTGAGTGTTCTGTTAAGAAATTGCACTTTGATGCGAGGCTTAGTAATTTTGCAGAGTTCCTAGTATGTAGGCCTGTGAACAAGGAGTTGGAATTGTCCGAGTGCTGATGAAGGTTCTGTTACTGCTGTTACAGGGTTGGCTGTGTTTCCAGTTGCCACTCTTGGTTGATACATTACTCTTAGCTCATCTTCATTATCATCATATGCATGAGCTATAATGGGACAGCACAGAATTTTTGGCCAATAATTTGCTAATAATGACTTTAAGTTATCAATGTTTCAGCTAAACAATGAGTCATCCAGACTTCTACTGCCAAAGCAGTCATATGCATATGCATATACAAAATGCATATAATTATTCAGTGATGTGCCATTATCTTGGAATGACTCACAGCCCTGTGGAAAGCTGGAACATATTGGGGTCACAGGAGGACAACATCTTTCCTCATGTACATTAAAGATCTTATCCCCTCACAGGGCAGTGGAGG